GATACAGCCAAAGTGACTCCAAAACCATCTAATGATACAGCCAAAGTGACTCCAAAACCATCTACTGATACAGCCAAAGTGACTCCAAAGTCATCTACTGGTGCAGCCAAAGTGACACCCAAGTCATCTACTGATACAGCCAAAGTGACTCCAAAACCATCTACTGATACAGCCAAGGTGACACCCAAGTCATCTACTGATACAGCCAAAGTGACACCAAAACCATCTACTGATGCAGCCAAAGTGACTCCAAAACCATCTAATGATACAGCCAAAGTGACCCCAAAGTCATCAACTGATGCAGCCAAAGTGACTCCAAAACCATCTACTGGTGCAGCTAAAGTGATACCCAAGACTTCTACTGACTCTGCCAAAATAACACCCAAGACATCTACTTTTTCAGCAAAGGTTACTCCAAAGCCCTCTAATGATGCTGTGAAAGTAAAACGCAAGTCGAGTACTGGAGCAGCCAAAGTGACAACCACACCTTCTACTGGCGCTGCCAAAGTAACTCCAAAGCCATCTAATGAAGCAGTCAAGGTAACACCAACGTCCTCTACTGATTCAGCGAAAGTTGTACACAAGTCATCAACTGATACAACCAAAGTGACACAAAGTTCATCAAAAGATGCTATCTCTACTAAGTCTGTTAACGTCCATTCAAAGTCATCTAAAAATATTGCATCTACTTCMTCGAGAAAATCTATAAGGGATGACGACCGCGATATTACTCCAAAAGGTTCGAAWGGAGTAGTAAAACTCTCAGCAAAGACATCTGTCGAAWGTCAGCGAGGGTCCACAAAAGAAATACYTCTTAAACAATCAACAGATGATACAATGGTTTCTTCCAAAACGTCAGAGACAAAAGCGCTCTCGATATCTCCAACATCGTCTGGYACCAACAAAACAGCTTCTGGTGACTCAAGGAAAGATCAATCATCAAAGAGAAAAGATAAGAATGCAAGTTCGCCAGWTGAAAGTGRTAAGGGAACAATCGAGATTCCTGGAGACACAACGTGGCAAATATCGGTTGATAAGTCTGAAATYCAGKCCRCAAAAGACTGCGACAAAAGTGATTCACCTTCAGAGGTCATTGGCAAAGAACGTCCACCATTGACTGAAGAAAATAATGATAGTGAGCAATCTCAAGGCAATCGGAGGATCTCTTTAACAGTCCCAAATGCAACTATTGCTATGAAGGGAATTGGAAGAAGGGCATCTCTTCCACTTGCTGCCTTTTCGGAAGAAGATATCTGCCAGCTCAATGAAAGACGTTCATCTTATGTTCCACATCTGGCTGAGTTATCAAAAATTGAACCAGACCAAACCCTTTCTCCAGAACCAGCGATTGAGCGACCCAGAACGTATACTGTACCATCCATTACTGTAGTAGAACCAGCCACRCCACCAAACGAAGAAAACGTATTGTTTGATGCAAACGAGAGGCAGCGAATTATCGATGAGCTCGAGCAAAATGCTGARTCTRAAACCTCCGTGAATGTTTCAGATCCTGTGGTTARTGACAGCAAAACAATCTCTACAGAAMATGGTARCACTGAMAAATACGAGCCACGCCCATGTCCTGTGAACACCCCAGAGAATAGCAAAAGCACAACACCGACTAAGGGTTCTAGGCAAGGCATTGCTTGTGTAGGGGTTCAGCTGACWCGTGGTGATTCAGGTAGCGCTGGCTCACTCGCAGGAAAATCGTCCATCTCCTCCCTGAGAGACCGCCATTCAAAAGGTTCTCTTCCAAAGGTAAATCGAGAAATATTTGGTTCTCCTGAGCTGAAATCACATTCATTTGAGCTTAAAGGCACAGCCTTGGGATCACGCACCCCGAGTGAACATTCAACTGGATCTAACAAGTCTACTAGGCATTCGCGAACCCAATTAATTTTGACAGGCTCGCGCAATCACATTGCAACTCAAGGTGACGAAGATCTTTCGCAAGGTCAGTTTACATAGCATTGCAATGAAAGTAAAGCCCCATGTGCATCCGAGAGTCGTTGCGCGATTTTCTCACTTTCAAAATATTGACATCTTTGATTTTTTAACCAATCAGACAGCAATTTTCAAGGTACAAAAAAATCTTTTCCAAAACAAAGCAAACGATCGCGCAAAGGTTCTGGGATGCAAGCAGGCATACAGATATTTTAATGGTAAATTGTTCAACATTGGAAGTTATTACTAGATGCATGTAGCACGCTATATGAATCCAAAGTGGCTCAAACGCTCGAGATGGTGACCGGAAGTGATTTTGTAATAATTTTGAGCGGAAGTGAGATCTGGGTGATTTGAGAAAATGCGACTAGCCAATCAGCGCAAAGCTGACAAGCTTATGTTGTAAACATAACCCTCCGACGGGAGGAATTTGCACAGCAAAACTCGACCCAGTGGAGTAGGCTGCCTGTCATTTTATTCTATCCGAAAAATCGAAGCTAAAACGCAAAGAGAAATTGAAAATCTTTATAAAATAGCTTTTAAATGTCAATCAAATATTTATCGTTATAGAAAGAGAATTTTATCTTAAAAATGAAAAAA